AATGTGACTAAAGTTCGAAGCTTTTTGGGATTGGCAGGATATTACTGAAAATTTGTAGAAGGATTTTCTCGAATCGCAACCCCATTAACTCGATTGATACAGAAAAATGTCAAATTTGAATGGACAAATGAATGTGAGGAGAGTTTTCAAGAAGTAAAAGTTCGATTAACTTCAATACCTATTTTAACTATTCCTGAGATGAGTGGGGGATTTGTGATTTATAGTGATGCTTCACTTAAAGGCTTGGGCTGTGTATTAATGCAATATGGGAAAGTAGTGGCATATGCATCCAAATAGTTGAAAGAATATAAGAAAAACTATCCAATTCATGACTTGGAGCTGGCTACAATAGTATTCGCTTTGAAAATGTTGAGGCATTATCTATATGATGAGCAATTGAAAATACACATGAATCATAAGAGCTTGAAATACCTCTTCTCTCAGAAAGATTTAAATATACGGCAGATAAGATGGATGGATTTCTTAAAAGATTATGATTGTATAATCCATTATCATTCAGGAAAAGCTAACGTTATGACCGACGCTCTAAGTAAAAAATCTACGAGAGTCTTAGCTCATCCAATGATCCAAGAAATGAAAAGAGGAAATAGTAGATTGGCATCCGACTCCGTCCATTAATGGTGTGGTAAATATGATTGCCAACATTAAAGCAGAACCCCAATTAATCCAACAGATTCGATCGGCACAAAAGAAAGACCCTCAGCTTATAACAATTGTAGAAGAGGTGAAGCTGAGAAAAAGAGACGAATTCTCTATATCTAGTGAGGATTTGTTAAGATTCAAAGGTCGGATTTGTGTCCCGAATGATGAGAGTGTGAAGAAAGCTATCTTGGAAGAAGCACATCACTCTCGTTATATGATACATCCCAGAAGTATTAAAATGTATCAGGACCTGAAAAAAACCTTTTGGTGGAATAAGATGAAAAAAGAGGTAGCACTATTTGTGTCTAAGTGCCTAACATGCCAGCAAGTAAACGCTGAGCATCAAAAGCCCGCTGGGTTGTTGCAACCTTTACACGTGTCAGAGTGGAAGTGGGAGCACATCTCTATGGATTTTGTCTCTAGCTTACCTAGAACAAATTCAGGACATGATAGCATTTGGGTCATTGTGGACCGGCTGACCAAAGCTGTCCATTTTCTGCCGATTCGCACGACGTAAACGTTGGATCGACTGGCCCAGTTGTACATTAAGGAAATAGTGCGATTGCATAGAGTTCCGGTCAGTATTGTATCGGATAGGGATACTCGGTTTACTTTTAAATTTTAAGCTAGGCTACAGTCAGCCATGCGGACGAGACTCACCTTTAGCACTACCTTTCACCCCTAAACTGATAGACAATCAGAGAGGACCATCCAAACCTTGGAAGATATGCTGAAGGCCTGTGTCATTGACTTTACAGAAAGCTGAGATGACCATTTACCCCTGAATGAGTTTGCTTATAATAATAGATTTCAAGCCAGTATTCAGATGGCACCATATGAAGCCCTGTATGGATGGAAATGTAGGTCACCCATCTGTTGGGACGAAGTTAGTGAAAGAAAGCTTTTGGGGCCAGAAATTGTCCAGATAACTACAGATAAGATAACATTAATTCGAAAAAGGCTCAGGACAGCTCAGAGTCGACAAAAGAGTTATGTCGATAACCGAATGAGAGATCTTGAATTTGAGGAAGGTGATCGAGTTTTCCTATAAATCTCACCAACAAAAGGCATTATGAGATTCGACAAGAAAGGAAAGCTGAGCCCACGTTACATCGAACCATTTGAAATCTTGGAAAGAATCGAAGGTGTCGCTCATACACTGCCTTACCACCCGAATTGACAAACGTCCATAATGTCTTACATGTATCATCACTACGAAAATATCAGCCCGACCCATTCCATATCTTGAAATATGAACCTTTACCAATCAGAAATGACCTATCTTTCATTGAGCAACCAATTTTGATACTGGATAGAAGGGTACAAGTGTTGCGCAATAAAAAGATTCCTTTGGTCTGTATATTATGGTAATACCATTCAAGAGAGGAGTCGACTTGAAAATGAGAAGACGATATCAGAAAAAAATATCCCTATCTTTTTCAGTAATCAGGTACACAAATTTAGAGGACTAAATTTCTTTAAGGGGAGAAGAATGTAACAATCCTAAACTTTCAAAAAAAATAATAATAAATAAATAAATAAATAATTCTTTATAGTGTGATGGTCCATATAAGTATTATGGTCCTTAGAGACCATCACCACTTTTGTTAACTTTTCCTTTCCTTTTCCAAGTTCTTTAGTGGACGTGGGCTTTAAAAGTTTCATGTGTAATATAATTGTCACACCTCATGTATGAGGTGTAAC